TCCAAAGGGTGCTCAGGAGAGCCCTTTTGTTGTATTGTTGATGTTTCTCCTGTGGCAACCCTGGAAGGAGATGCTGTTGGGGCTCTTCCTCTCCAGGTAAGTTATTGGGGTCCCCTTGCCTGTTCAGCTTTGCTCCTTCAAGCTGAAGACTCCTGTGGTAACTCAGAGTAACCAGGGCATGGTATTGCTCAGGTTTTTCCCATTTGCCGCTCTCTCTCTGGGCTTCTTAGTGAAGATGAACCTTTTCTCACACAACCTGACTGCTCTTCCTCCCTGCAGCTTTCTCTTCTCCAGGCTGAACAAGCCCTGTCCCCTCAGGAAACTCTGACAGGACACATACTCCAGCCCCTGCCCATGTTGGTGACCCCCTACTGAACTCAACCCAGTTGGTCAGTGTGTTCCTTGTACCGGGGGTACCAAAAACTTGTGTGACATTTCACATACGCAAACCAGGGGCGTGTGATCTAATGTGATCTAAACTCCCCAGAGCCAAGGGGGTTAATAATTCCCCTCAGGCATTTTTTCCTTGATTAATAGGCAATGCTCCATTTAATAGAGCCCAGGATGCCGTGAGCAGCCTTTGCTGCCAGGGCACAGTGCTGACTAGTGGGCAGGTTGCTGGCTACCAAGACCTCCACGTCGTTTTCCACAGACTATTCCAAATAATCACCATCTCCTTCATGCACTCAGAAGCGTGTTCCAGTAGGACTCATCATTTCCCCATAAACTGTGGGAAAGCTGACCAGCTTGTTGAGCCCTGGGTAGAACTTTTGCCCTCTTTTTGAAGACGGGTGCAGCACTTGTCTTCCACCTCCCTGGAACTCCACAAGTGTACAAAGATGACAGAGCAGCCTTGCTGTCATACCAGTCATGTATGTGAGAGAAGCAGCACTTCTTTTAGCCCTTAAAGTCTTCTACAAGCATGAACTCTGAGTGAGCTCTGGCTTTTCTGACACCACCTCCACATGCCTTGGCAGTGTTTCTGAGCTCCTCCATCGTAACCTGTGTTCTCTCACAGAGCTCTAGTCATAGAAGCCTCTTGTGCTGATGTGCTCATGGTCTCCCTTAACCCATGTGAATGAGCAGCAAGTGCCCAAAGACTGGATGAGCCTTGGCAGTCTCTCCTCAGCATCCCCGATCCAAGCCCGGGGGAAGTAACAAATCTGCCTGGACAGGGAGTGGTTCTTTTCCTCGTCACCTGGCTCTGAGCTCTCCACATTAAGGTGCCAGAACCCAAGGGAGAGGCTCTAAAATTATTTGGAGCCCTGATCACAACTAATGTGGGCAGATATACCATCCTGCTCTAGAGGAGTGGTTTGATTTTTGGCCGCTTACTGAAATGTCTTTGGAAACAGGATGAAACTGGCCTTTGAGACTTCACAAAGAGGCTGGAACAGGTTGCCCAGAGAGGTGGTGGATGCCCCATCCTTGTAAACATTCGAGGTCAGGCTGGATAGGGCTCTGAGCAACCTAGTCTGGTTGAAAATGTCCCTGCTCATTGCTGAGGGTTGGACTGGATGGCCTTTAAAAGTCCCTTCCAACTGAAACTGTTCTCTGACTCTATGACACTTGTCTTCCTTGGAATTGCCTCAGACTAAGCTTTGCCTTGCTGGTGCCTTCCAACTCAATTCTGTAAGTCTAAGAGTGTGTATTGACAGTACAGATGTACCTGAGTGCATTTAAAGAGGTTTTCTGAATGGTGTGGTAGCATCTTGATTGACTTGAATCTGTGCTGAACTAGATTATTTTCTGCTTTTAAAAAAAAAAAGAAAAAAAGAAAAGAAAAAAAAATTACTCTATGTGGCTATAATTTTACTCTACAATTTAAATCTCCTTTCTTTGTGTTGCCTCTTATAAAGGATTGATCTTTGCATGTCTGTATTATATAGATATAATTTTCTCTCCTTTGTGATTCATGTTCTGCTACTCACATGACTAATTCCTTCCTTGTTCTCTACGTTTTTTTTTCCAAGATAAATTATTTCATGCAACAGTACTTGAAGTGCTACATTTTAAACATTAAATTAACCTTGGATATGAAACATAGATCAGCAACACTCTACTAGGAGAGAATTTCTATTAAATAATTGACAGATTCTTTTAAAGCAGTGCTCAAGCTCTTTTGAAGGCTGTGACACCCACTTCAATTTATAGCATTTGGGATTGAGCAAAATGATGCATTTAGCTTGAACTTGGCTCATTAGTGCAGGCGTTCATTAGAAGTAATTCCATTTCAGTTCTGCGATTGTACATTTTATTTAAAAATGTAAACCAGTTTCTATTGACTGTGAACAGGAATATAGGAAATTACTATTGAGACATTGAAAAAAAAAAGTATGAAAATACATACTAGGAAAGAGTATTGCTCAAGGCAACTTGAAAGGGTTTGGAAACGTCCCCAGGTTGTTGCTGTAGGAAGCTCAGTCCTGTGCTTTGATCATCACCTGGAGGTGGCATTGCTGTGTTTCTGAGCATGGGTGCTCCCTGCTCACCTCCTGGATGTGGTAGCTCCTTTCCAACCCCGAGGCAACGTGGCTTATTAATGGGAGATTATTTCAAAATGCAGATAAACCATGTCCATGGGATTCCCTTTCCCCAAACACTGACTGACACCCTCACACAAATCCAGCAGCCTGGTGGGGCTGGATTTCCCCTTGAAAATACGTACCAGTTCTTTCCAAACAGAATGTATTTGTGTGTGTGCTTGAAATATCTTCTTATTCTTTACTGGAATTATGGACTCTGTCACTGCCAAGGAGGTCACTCACAAGCCTGTAATTCTAAAATACCTCTGGAGCCCTTCTGGAGCTGGGAATTGTGTTGGCAGCACTGCAGGGCTCTGGGGGGCAGCAGTTTGTAGGGTGGGTGACCTGCCTTTGCCAGCAGCTTTGCAGATTCAAATTTGAGAGAATGCAGCCCAGTTCTGATGGTTTCATTAGCGTTATCACTTGGGGCCAGTATTTCTTATGTACTGAAGTTGATTCACTATAAAGGATGTCAGAGGTGTGGGAATCTTCCCAAGGTCTTTCATCAGAAAAACCCAGGTCAAGAAATTCACTGAGTGTTTTTTGCCTACTCCCAAGTGCTCCTGTTACAATTTCTCCATCAAGCAATCCTGTTGATTCCCTAGCTGGCCTCATGCTTTTAATGTTTTTCAAGAGCTTCTTACTATGAAGTTGAGTATCCATTGTAAGGTGCTGTTCAAGTTAATTTCCATCCTCTTAATTTCTTGTTTAGATTTGACCTGCCATGTTTGATGCTCTTCTGTTCTCTGCATGTGGGCAAGCTTTCCACTTTTTTAAATGCTGACCTTTTCCTTCTGACAGACTTCTTAACTCCCCGTTGAGCCAAGCAAGAATTAATTGGGATTTTTTTTCTTCTTTCTTTCCTTTTGGTCCATGTTTTATTTGACCTTCTAACCCAGAATTCTGTGTAGTCCTTCAGTTGTTTGTAGATGTGATAGTTCCTACCTTTGGGGCTGTTCTTTTCATCTTTTTTTCTTGCCTAATAGCATTGTTTTTACGTTGTTCCATTTCTTCACATTTTTTTATCTAGTGCTTTTTTCACTCACCCACTCTTTTCTGTAACAACCTAATTGTGTTGTGAACACCACTAAAGAGCAGCTCTTCCAGTGATTCCACTTGAACTGGTTTCAAGCACCACTTGAGTCTAAATCCAAGACAGCATCTTTCATGTGGATTCCTATATAGGTTCTCCTAGAAGTTTTTTGTTTGCAGCTCTTGCTGATGAATCACCCATCCACTCTGTGTGTAGGTGATTTAATTCCTTATTGCTACCAGTCCAGTATTCCAATATTTACACTTTCTGTGCTCAGCATTTCATGATCACTGTCATTGCCCTGATGGGGATCAGCACTGCTAAACTGGAATTAGACTATGGGATTCCTAACCCCAAGGATTCTTCCACGCTTCCCTTTTCCTGTAACATCTTCATGCTGTTACACTGCAAATTCTCCAGATCCCGTTGTTTGACTGGAGCACAATTTGCCTGTTTGAGGCTGCTGCAGTCCCAGCCCTGGGTTCAGGAAGGTGGACCCAGTGCTCCATGCAGCCACATCTTTCCTCGTGTCTCCATTCTAGGTCAAAACCTCTTCAATTCATGTAGAACATCACCATGGCACTCATTCACCTTCCTCTGGGCCACCTGCTGTGCCAGCCAGTTTGTCCCTGTTTGCACACCCTGGCGTTTAATGTTTGTGGGTGTAAAGTAGGTAACAGGTCTGATGGGAGCCTGCTGTGCCATCTCCCTCCAGAGAATCTGTCATTTAAAGAGGAGACTTGCAGGTATCGTCTTGTTGTCTGTGTTTGTCAGACCTATCTTCATTTAACTGTTAGAAATCAGAGGGAGAAGTGACTGGAAGAGTAAAAACAATAACAGCAAGAAATTTCGTAAAGCTTTTTCAAGGATGAGATGTTAACAGGTGCTTAAAAGCTATTACAGTGCTTTTCTGCTCAGGACTGCTGCTGTAAATCACTGCTGCAAAAATTAACCTCTCAAAATTATACATGAAGAAAGCACTCTTAAGGAAAAATACACTAGAATACCACCCCCCCTCTGAATATTTCAGTATCAAGGTAACTTTCTACTGGTGTGTTGACTGAAACCAGCAGAATCCACAAGTGGATTGTGTTTATCTTGCTGTGTATTGCTCATTAAGTGTATTATTAAATTAGAATCACAAAAACACAGAATGGTTTGGGTTGGAAGGGACCTTAAAGATCATCTAATTCTAACCCCCTGCTATGAGCAGGGACACCTTCCACTAGACCAGGTTGCTCCAAGCCCCATCCAACCTGGCCTTGAACACTTTCAGGGATGGGGCAGCCACTAAGTAGGACCCCTGATGAAGCCAACTTACTGGCTGGAGTGGCTGGAATTCCTTTTTCCTGCTCTTCAGGTGCTCTCCTGCTGACCTCTCCAGGTGCTGACCATCTATTATTGGCCCTGGCATCAAACTGGTAGGAATGGGATGGATTGAAGTTCCTCTCTCCCACCAACTTTAGTTCAAAGCCCTTATTATTATGGCCCCTGTTGTTACAGCCCCTGTTATTAGAACAAATCAAAAGACTTGTTTTAATAAGTGACATGTTGGAGATGGTTTGGATTCCTCCATTGTGGTTTGGCTAATATTTTTTTAAGAACTGTTTTGATGTTGGATTAAAAAGCTGTTTCATTTTGTAAAAAGAAAAGGCATGGCACCGTGCTTTTTTTTTTTCCTCCACATTCTTCACTCTCAATCAAGTGAAGGAGAATTGGGAACAAAGGACAGGGCTTCAAAAACCCTTCACTTCTATACTGCCTGATAGCCTTGGCTGTTTTTCTAAAGGTTTGCATAGTATTTCAGAGTTACAAACAACAAGCAAGTAATCACAGAGTTGCCAGACCCAGTTTGAAATACAGTGTCGCAATCCTTTGTATAAGTCATAAACTGTGAGTTATGGCATTGTTTCAGTCTGGAACTTCATCCATCTTTTTGTCTCTCTCTCTCCTGGTAAAGCAGTCCTGGTTTAATGGGAACCTCAGCTTTCTGCTACAGAAAAGGTACGAAACCCAGGTAGGAATTAAATTTCTTAGAAGCACACGAGTGAAAGCCAACAATATGTGCTTGTCTACCCACTGAGTTTTATAATTGCACCTAAGGTCTTGAGAGGAAGGAGCTGTGTAATTTATAATATTGCTGTAATATTTCATGTAGGAATATGATGGATGCCTTGTTCTTCCTGAGCCCTGTTGTTAAGGAACTGCTGGAATCCTGAAGCAGACCTCACTGTTAACTGCACTCCTGTGTGTAATTACATCTGTGTCTTTTTTGTACAGTGTTGTTATTAGTTTCCTAATATCAGGTTATCGTATTCCAGTGAATATTGCACTTTAAACAGCTAAAAACTAATTTAATCAAAATCTCTGGGACTGTTTGCTAATGCAAATGTTGAGAAGCAGGAGTCAGAGACCGTTGTCTCACCTTAATACTTGGAAAATAGTTATGGACAAATGTTTGTCATTATCCTGTTGGAAATATGGAATCAATACAGCTGAAGAGCAGGACTGTACTTGGGGCATTCACACAACACCTGATAAGAGCAGGCTTTGTTGCTCACTGTTTGTGCAACCCTTACATGGCAGCTGATATCCTATTTTTCCTGTATTCTCCCTTTTTTTTTCCATCCTGTCCTTCTGGATGAGTGTCCTGATGTCTCCTGAGATTCTTACAGAACTCTATTGTCCTACTGTGTTTAGAGCAGAAGAGAACACAGGATATGGATGGATGCCAACCTCTCTTCCCTGCAGCCTATTTTAGATGACTATGCTAAAATCAAACTTTTTTTTCCAGTCTGTGATCTGCATTTTTGGTTTTCTAGAGCAGTTGTGCTTCCTGAGACCGTAATACCATGGAAACAAGCTTCATTGGCTTGAATCTGTGGTAACTTGGTTGTCTTGCTTAGAATGCTGAAATTATGACACTCTTGATCTGAATTGAAGTTCTTTAGTGAAAAGACATTTCCATGCCTTGAGTCTCTAAATTCACAAGCACACCACAATGGCAGATCTCTCAAATGTTCATCTAATATCATCATTCTTCTTCATCTAATAGGCTCTTTCATCTCATGTCCATGCCTGGTCTTTGTCCAGGGACTTTAAAAAGTTGTCAGCTGAGACCTTGGGCTTTACCAGATGTGGATGTTTTGCTCAGCAGCTGGTCCAGCTTAAAGTTTAGTAGCAAAACTCAGAGCTGACATTTCCTGGTGAAGCACCCACCGTCCTGGTGCCTCCATTGCTTGCACTGAGACCTACAGATGCCTGTGGTTGGTGGTCTGCTCTTCAGCAGACCAACACTTAAGTGACCCTCAGACACACAGAACAGAGGAGATCTCACACAAAATATAAAAGATTAGGCTTTAACACAGGGCAGACTGTGGTGGTGAGGCACAGGGTCAGTCAGGCGAGGGTGGTGACCTGTTCACATGTGGCAAATCCTGCTTATTTCCCCCTTTCCCCAGACACTTTGATCTCTTCCTTTCTCCACTCCTGCATCCTCCTAAATGAACAAGCCATCCCTAATTACCTTTCCCCCATGGGTTTAGTGTATCTGCATCCAAATTTAGTATTTCTGAAAGTTACCCAGGTCATTCAAGCCTTATGTGGATGGCATTACCTGGGTCTGGCATTACCTGAGTCTGGCATTACCTGGCTCCTGGTGGTCTTGAAAGATCCTGGTCCTTAAATGGTACCTCTGGAATTTTCCCATCCCTCACATAACTCCCCCTTGATCGTGTGTTAAATCCACCCATCCTTCACAGCATAATTTTCTTCACTTTTTCACTCTGTTATTTATGTTCAGCAGTTTCTTATGTTGTGTCCAGTAGTTTTTCATGGTCTATTCAGTTAATAAACCCCAGCCCAGGGCCCAGACATCTTCTTACAGACCCTAACAAAAGCACTGTCAGTTTGGTGGTCACGTAACTGTTTTTTCCCTCTCAGAGATCCAGAGAAACTGATAAAGTCCATGGGAAGATTTCACATCTTCTGCATGGTCTCCAGTACCTGCAATATGGCTGTGTGGAAAATCAAGAGTATATTTTGCTGTTTAAATAGGAATTGGCACTGTTGCCAGGAAAATAATTAACTCCAAACCAGTACTGAACAATAGCATTCTTTGGATCATAGACTGAGGAATAAACAAAATGCAGAATAAATTACGGGAACAAAACACATGCTCTGACTGTCAAGTCGATTTTCAAACGTCCTTTTTCTCTTTTAAGATTTTTTTTCCCTTAGGATACAACATGTGTTTAATACAAGAATATGAATCAGAAGAATGCAGGAGATGTTTTATTTTTCTGTGCATATCACTGCCAGTAAAATAAATTGTTACCTTGTCCCTATCACACTTTTGCTGGCTTTGATGGATTTTGTAGGGCTCCTGTTCCAGACTAGCCTTGCTCTTATATCTCCTTTTAAAACCTTACCCTCAAACATCACTTCTTGCAGAATCCAGTTGTTCTGATTGAGATATAAATAAGAAATTTTGAATTGAGATTAAGATCCCCTTTCTTTTTTTTTTCCTTCGGGAGAGGTTTTTAGGAAGGGCTTAAGAAGATGGAGCAACCACAAGACCCCACCTTAACATCCTTTCAGACACCTTTAAAGCTGTTAAGACTAAATCAAAGTGCTCTACTTGCTCAACTTTTGCCCTCAAATTTCTCAGTCCATCTCAAGCTTTTCCTCCTCCTCTGGGTTTTGAATTCAGGTATGAATTGATCACTGTCATCTCAGGCCAAATTGTAGCTGATCTGTTTGTTTTACAGCCAGTTACACTGCGTGATTGGCAGTTTCCTTGGTGCCATCCTATTGCCCCTTTTCTAAAGTATAAATACCTGCATGTCTTTGGAGCAGTTTTGTCTCAGGTAAATAACAATGTCCCTTCTCCTGTCTCTGCAGGGTGGCTGTTCAGTGCTCTGCAGGCTGCAAGACACTCTTTTCTTCCCTCAGAATGTGCAACCACCTTTTATCCATTAAGGAATTCACCTGCTGTGGACAACATGCCCAGTGGCTTTTTTTTTGTTCTTTTCAGCAATGAGCAAACTGCAGAAGGTTTTACATCTGTCCTTGAAAAGCTTTTCCTACTGTAGTTTTCAAAGGCTCTTTTTGTGGTTTTCAAAGGCTTGACATCTTCTTTTCCTTCCTTGCTTTTCTAGAGTGCATCATCATGGATTCAGAGAATCCCAGAATGGTTTAGGTTGGGACCTAAAAGGGACCATAAAGACCATCCAGTTCCACCCCCCTGCCATGGGCAGGGACACCTTCCACTAGCCCAGGTGGCTCCAAGCCCTGCCTAACCTGGCTTTGGACACTTCCAGGGATGGGGCAGCCACAGCTTCTCTGGGCAACCTGTGCCAGGGCCTCACCACCCTCACAGGGAAGAATTTCTTCCTAATATCCAATCCAACCCTGCCCTCTGGAGTGACCTTGTCCTGTCACTCCATACCCTGGAATCAACTTGAATGCCTGAAATGTGTTATTTTATCGGGAATGAAAGTTAATAAAGGCAGAAAGAGGAAGAAAAATTAGAAAGGCATCTTCATGCAGACTATATTTATGTAAATAGATTTGTTTCTGAAAACCAGGTCATGAATGAATTGAGAATTTCTTATAAATCCCCCATGAAATGCTTCGGATTTTTAGCTGTTGCTTTTTTTCCCCTCTCCTTTCCTCTGTCTTGTGTTTTAAGCTGGAGGTAATGAGTAAAATCCTCACTAATAATTTGCTGTGGATTTTCCATGATAAATGCTGCCATGCTTGGAGTCTGCAAAATAAACAGAAATTTACTGTTCTGATATTAATTGACATCAGAATGCACATCAAAACATTGCAGTATGTTCAGTTTGTTGTAAAATGGGAGAGCCAGATGAGTAATTATTTGTTAAATACTAAAAAAAGAAATTAGAGTTTAAGCAAGTGATTATTGGCTTCAATATAGAAAAGGTGGACAACTGAAATGATTTATGAATATGCTAAGTAAAACATGAAGGGTTTTTTGGTTCCTCACTGCAGTGTGACATTAAAACACTAGAGAGAGCTCATGATTCATGGTTTCTTATTTCCAGAGGCTTATTTAGAGAGCTGAGCCTCCTCATGTTCTCCTAACCATAAATAAAAGGGAAACTTTCAATTAAATGTTGCCTTTTACTCCATACTATAGCAAATTCTTTGGCTAATAAAGTTGAAATGTAATTTAATGCAAGACTTCAATGCTCTTCTCAATAATGAATTAACAAAATGCTGGTTTTTCCGGATCTCATCTGCTGCTTATTCAAAATACTATTTTTTTTTCTTCCCAGTAGCTGTTCCAGGTGTTGGGAACCCATTTAACACAGCTTTTTTTTTTTTCCCTTTTTCCCCTTCTGGGAGCAGCACAGGCTTTTGAGTGTAATGTTAGAATTTTTATCATGCATTTTTGGAATATCTTCCCTGTCATAGTGGTCCCAACTATTCTAAATTTCCGCTGTGGTTTTTGGGAGCATTTGGGTAAATGAACCACAAGCAGGAGCAGCATTTCCGTTCCTTGATTGGATGAGCAGCTCTGGCATGAACAACATACTTGTGTGTGTACAGAGAGTCTCTGGAGCCTCAAATATGCACCCCTGAGATCTCCAAACTCATTTCTTGTGAGTATTTCTGCTAAAAAAAGGAATGCTTGGATATTTGCAATCCAAAGGCTGTCTGTCCCAGGCTCCTGCAGGAATCCAAGCCCTGTTGGAATTGTTACACAGAAGCTGGAATCAGTTCTAGCCCACAATTCACAAACTTGTTTGGGTTTTCTGCCCAGGCTGTGTGACCAATTTAATTTTATTAAGAGCTGCAGAAGCTACACAACAATTAAAAATGGTTAATATTTGGATCGAGAAATAAGGCTGAAGTTGGTTTTCAGGCTGAAGTTGGTTTTCAGGCCTTGTGTATGTTAAGAACAACCATATGGTTTCTGTGGTTGCTTTCCTGGCCATTTTTTCAGCCCCCAGCATTGCTACCATCAAAAACAAGGCAACTGTGCTCTGTATTTACACCCCAGCCCTGGAATATGCCAAGTTCCCACATGGTCTTTTAAAATACATTTGACTCAGAATTGGATGAATTGATCCAGAAACTACTGCAGGGTTTGGAGTCCAACCTTTGCAGGTAATTCCGTGATTTGGAGCACCAAGAGGATGAAATCCTGTTTTTTTGTAGACTAGATCTATCCAGGTTGGTCTAATGAAAGGCCTCCCTGCCCACAGCAGGGGAATTGG